AAGGGTAAGTTCAGTTCGGCTATTTAAATTTTGTTGAATACCCAGAGCGGGGGTGGTCAAACTCCGGCCCCCGGGAAACATTTTCCCCCCAAAGTACATTTTTGTGACCCGGCCAATATATTGGCATACACAATAATATTTAATAAAATAGCAAACCGTCCCAAATAAAAAGAATTAGATAAATTAAAGAAACGTTTTTTAAATTATACTCTTTTTTTTGTTGTTATTATTATTATATAAAATACGCAATTTAATTTTTTTCGAATATACCACAATTAGGTAATTAGGTAAATACGTAAATGTCAAGTGTTAGTGCGTAAACATTAAATTTTTCTTGTTCTTTTATATACGTAAACTATAATGTATTATTCAAAATAATCATGTGTTTTTATGAACACTAATTTTCTTTTTGGCCCGTCTAAAGTTAAGCCTTGTTTGTTTGGCCCTAGTTAGCCTTTGAGTTTGTCACTCCTGCCCTAGGGGTTTGTCAGGGTCCTTTCATATCTCTTCCACCAACCTCACGAGAGAACTTGCGACTCGACAAATGTTCAGAGTGCTCCCATACCGCGAATGTACTACACATTTACAAATGCCCATGCCTTCTCCTGGATTCGAACCCAAGCCCTTACAGCATATTGTTCATCGTCAATAAATACTATATTGGACGAGCGACATTAAACTTATAGTAATAAAATCCTTCAATTTGTGAAATTGATTAATTTTAGTTCCCTTACAGAGCCTTTGTATAATTTTTGTGTGTAGTTTTCTTAGTATGTAAATTATAAACTTAATGTATCCATGTATAAATTTATATATGTGACTCACAATACAATTCATTCATGTTTATCAATATCATCTGTCTTCATTAAAAAATACAGTCGGACCTCCAAACGAACCTCTATTTTGCGAATTTCTTTATTTTACGAACATTTTAAGAAACCAAGGACAGAAGAATATTGAAATATAAATCTCTATATGACGATTTTTCTTCATAACGAAATTTTTTTGGGGATTTAGCGACTTCTTTAATAGAGTTCCGACTGTATATAACACAAGTTGCAAAGAGCACAAATACAAAAGTATGAATTTGCCGGTAAAATATTGTTATAATTTTTTTTTCTTCATTCAGGATTTTATTTTCAACACTCATCAGCAGGGTGAACGAGGAAGATCGTATCATAAGCAGAGAAACACATTTCATTCAATAATAGTGTTACATATATTAAAAGATATTTATAAAATAACTATATATTTTCATAGATTGGAAGAGAACTTTACTGTTTGGCTTATATGTTAAATTCCGAGAAAAACATATTCAGTAACTCATATATTAAGTTAAATGAATTTTCATTTCATTTTTTTAAGTATAATCAAAATTTCTCTAAAATTAAACCACTCTTACCGTATATCGACGTATAAATACACTCCATAAGAAAAAAATTGACGCAACAGAAAGAAATTGCCCGATTTTAATGAAATTTCGTATACAAAGACATTTCTACCGAACATGCAAATGATTAAAATTTGGTGTTCAATGAATGAATAGCGAGAGCTAGAGCGCATCGGAGCTGTGCACTCAGCAGGTGTCTATAAAAAGCGATCCTCAATCTGATGGTCAAAGTTTCTGTGGCATTGCGATTTAGGATACATTTCAAGGACTGAAAAAATGCCTCGCCGCAGGATTCGAACTGTGAGAATTTGAAAGAGGTCGTATCATTGGATTGAAAGATACAGGTTGGTCAAATCGGAGAATCGCTCGTCATATGGGTCGAAGCGGGACGGACATTAGAAGATGCTGGCGAGAATGGGTGGACAGTGGCAGATTTCAGAGTCATGAAAGCGGTCAACTTAGGGCCACAACCGATCGGGAGTATAGATTGATTGTCATATCAGCTGTCACAGTGCCTGGTCCATCGTTATCAACCATCAAACGTGCGACCCGCACACGAGTGTCCACCATGACCATCCACAGACGGCTGATAGAGCGAAATTTCCGCTTGTACCAATCGTTACGTCACTTGCCACTTATGCCTGTACAATGTTAAGTCAGATTACAGTGGTGCTTGACTCAATCAGGTTGAAATCAGGCTGACAGGGGACATATAGTGTTTAGTGACGGATCCCGATTCCAACTATGTCCTGACGATCATCGAAGACGTGTCTGGAGATGCCCAGGTCAGCGTGCTGATTCTGCTTTCACTATTGCACACCACACAGGCCCTCAACCAGGTGTTATGGTCTGAGGCGCCATTTCTTTTGACAGCCGGATCCTTTTGGTCATCCTTAGAGGCAACTTACGGGCAGATCACGAAATCTCTCTCCAATTGAGCATGTCTAGAATATGATAGGAAGGCGACTGAATCTGCCACAGAATGTTGATGACCTGGCCTGACAATTGGAGCAAATTTGACAAGAAATACCGCAAGAGACGATCAGGATAATTTTTCACTCTATTCCCAGTCGTGCGGCAGCTTGAATACATAAGCTTGAATCCAACTTGAAAGTATTTGATTAATGATTGAAAATTTGAACAACATATAGAAAAATAATTGTAGGAACTGAAAAATAATTTTAATAAAGGAAATCCAAAAATAAAAAATGCCAACGACACACGGTGTTCCCAGGAGATCACCCTCCCAAGTACTGACCGAGCCCAATGATGCTTAACTTCAGTGATCGGACGAGAACCAGTGTTTTCAGCATGGAATAGCAGTTCGCGGTAACGAATTGACCACTTTGTTAAAAAAAGCCTTAGCAGATTATTAATTAAACTTTATTAATCAATTAATATTTGAAAAAAATGTGTCAACATCAAGTGTCATCCATTACAAGTTTAAAAAATGTAATTCAACTTGAGTGGATGAATAAAATGTATTTTATTAAAGATTGAAAATTTGAATAAGATATGTTACCTTTAAAGTGTGTGAAATCAGTTATTTCATAGAAAACCTAGGTACTTCATGAAATAACTAGACACACACACAAGTCAGTTAAAGTATATAACATTATTGAATTCTACGCTTTAACAAGGCATTCATAGAATAACGATTACTTGATTGTTAAAGTATGAAATACGGCCTATGGTTTGAGTTTCAAAGCAGAGGGATATTAAAATGGGGTGAGGAAATAGGATTATTACAATGAAATTTTATGTGCAAAAAACTCATAAGAATATCTATGGAATCGGGCAGGTACGCATTACCAAGATGATCTAGGATTCGAGATATGAAGGAAGTGACCATTCAGGGGGATACACCTGTGGGGACGTCCCAGGATTTAGGGATCTGAACATTGATTTAGTCGATCCTTCAAGTACCAACCCCATATCATCAAAAAAGTGGCACCATATGATTAACATGGAGAAATGAAAGTTTAGTGCTAAAGTCCTCCTTAGGCGTACTAAATGGGGATTGAGTGGCTAGATGTATAGGTCGCGACGAGTGTAACCTGTGGTTCACATCTCAGAGCCGAGACTCAAATACAAGTCAAGATATTGCGAATTTAAATGTTCAAACAATTTAAATTGTTTAAAACTATTAAATAAAATAGAAAGAATGACCCTACAAGCAAGAAAATTGGTGGAGGTATACAATGGATGAAGGGAGATTGAATGAGCCAGATTCGAATGGACTGACAGACTTGAGTGTCAGGCTATTGGCAAAAAGACTGCCCAGGGAGGGGGATACACCTGGGGAAATCCCCAGGGTTTCGGGTTCTGAACATTAATCTAGTTGATCCCCCAAATACCAACCCCTTACTCTCAAAAAAGTGGCACCATAGGATTAACATGGGGAAATTATATTTTAGTATGTAATCCCTCCTCTGTCCCAAGCAAGTTATCATAAGTAAAGAAATTATGAAGGGGAGGACAGGCCAGATGCTACACATCAAAAATAATTATAAAATAACTTTGAAATTCTTCATTTTTCCTTGTAACGGTTCATCATTAGTTATTTCTTCAAATAACTATTTAACGTATGAAATGTTTCCTCTATTATATACTTTATAACTAACGTCTAGTTGTTTCATGAAATACCTAGTTATTCTATGAAATAACTGAATTATACACTTTAACGGTAATATATATATAAATAAATAAATAGAGGTAGAGTGTGAACTAAAAGATAGGAATTGGAAAATATATATATATATATATTCGTACAGTCTAATGCAAAAACCAGGAAACGAGAGAATAAATGCTGTTCTATAATACACAGGGATATGTTTCTTTTGCATGTTGCTAGTTATTTAGCTTTTCCACTCAGAAAAAAAATCTTGACATTTAATAAAATTATAAAAATATGCAGAGAACGATTTCTTTTTACATTTTTCAGATACTTTCTTTCGTTCCAATGAGTTGATTTTCTGAAACACAAAAGGGGAAACAATACAATCTGCTTTTCAGTTATTTGGAGCCAAGATCGCGGATATTTCTAAATTGAAACTTATCGAGTTGAAATAAAATGTTGAGAGAAAGAAAAAATAATCTAAAATAATTCTACAGTTTCTGTACCTGCCTCCAAAATTGAATCTTTGAGACATCATATTTATTTCTTAGTCGAAATTGATAAAATCTTTCCCAAAGAATATTTGATATAGTAAAGGTATAAAAAATTTCAATATATATAGAATCTATATATATATATATATATCATTCAATCAAATCATGTGAGTTACACCTAATAAAATCCAATATAATATATTGGAAGGACGCCTATAGAATTTTTTTTCAAAATAAATTTACGCCGTATACTAAAATGGAACATAGTTTCGATAAAAATTAAAAAATAAAATGAAGGAGACACAGAATTCTAAAGCAAAAATGTTTTACGATGCGAATAAATTATTTTAAATAAGATTGTTGTTTGTTCATTTTATCAAAATTTGTTTGGTATTCGATTTTCAGAAATTAATTTTACTTTAATAGGATCATTAAAGCAAATATGTCTTTCAATGTTGTTCCAAATAAGAAATCGAGAATTAAATAATACAGTGAAATACGTTTAACGCGAAAACGCTTAAGACGAAATATCGGTAAACACGAAATAAAGCAGCGATCCCGACAAACTACTATGTAATTTAAAGCATTTTTTCCTCTTTACACAAAACGAAAATCGCTTAACACGAAAAGATTTCCTTTCTGGGAACGAACAAAATACTGAAAACATCAGTTGGATTAAACTGCCCTATTGTTTAATCGGAAAGAATCTATTGCAGTAGATAATGATAATGTGCGTACAAAGACATTTTGGAGTTTGTTCAAAGCTCAAAAAGTATTATTGATGCAGATTTTGATGAGGAAAATGATGAAATTGATATAGCAGCTCATGTTCCCATATTATCCGAAATGAGGAACTTCATGATAAGTATAGACGGCCGCGGTAGCCGAGTGGTATAGGTATCGGACCGTGGCTTGCTTTGTCACGAGTTCGAGCCCAGTACCACTAATGACCCGCCTTGTAGGGCAGCGATGCACGCTAAATCTTTCGAGAGCTGAAACGTCCTCCCGTTGGTGTGGTAATTAGGTGAGGAGGTGCCAGATCAGGTGTCGTCCACGTCACTTGACTATGGTTCAGAATTACGTGGTCCATCGCCAAAAGCCCTCGTGTAGCTAAAAAGTGCGACGTTAATATTCAATCAATCGATCATGATAAGTATGCACAGTTATTCAGAAGCACATTCCAATGGTGAAAAAAATAACAAAATGGACGATATTAAACAATTAGTTGACAATTCGATGCTGAAGCAACAATGTAAAGAAAAATATCAGATTACTCGTATTTTCCAAAAACTCAATAAATGTTTTGTTTTTAAAAAAAATTGAAAGTTTTGTATTAAACTTCATTTCTTGTAAATGTTTTTGTTCCATTGATTTTCATAAATATATAAATATCAATGTAAATAGAATAAACTCTAATAAACTTAATTTTGTTGATACATGGGGGATTTTTTTGCAATATCCTTTAACACACGGAATTCTTTTAACATGTAAAAATAATACAGTCCCAACGGTTTCGCGTTAAGCAATTTCACTCTAAATTTAATCTTTTACAAGCAGAAATAATAAACATAGGACATACATCCAAAGTGACTACGCACTAACGATAACCACCAGATAATAAAAGTTTTGTTTTTACTGAGAGTCATTTAATGCTGACCTGGGGTAATAGATTTCAAAGTATGTTTTATCTCTATTCCTATAATGGAGATGAATAGGAATAATTTTCTGAATAACAGTTAATCTTGAGTTTCAATCTCGAATTCAACAGGTTAAAGAAAAAAGAATTAGCTGAAAATTTAATTTAAAAAATTGGTAGATTACTTCTTTTTAAATTAATAGAAAACTAATTAACAGAATATTATATTTTTATTGTCGAATCATTTAGAAGGTCAAAACAATAGTTTTCGCTACAATTTCTCAGTTTATTAGATTTACAACGAATTAAATTGCTACCAAAGTATAGTTATCACCGTTATACAGGGTATCCCCGAATAACATGTACAAACTTAGAGGGGAGGTAGAGAACATCCTGAGGAGCCATAATTACACAGGAAATCATGGGTGAAAACGTAACCCTAACGAGATAAAGAGACAAAAGAACAGTACAGCTACGACACAGGATGTAGCGTAAAACGCTTTATTACACAAAAAATAATAACAAATAAAATAAGAAGAATAACGGAAGATGTTCGAAACTGCAGCCGTTGACATGTATGTAAGCTCGACACTGACGCGACAAGAATTTGTGGACTTTTTCGAAAATATCGGGCATTTAACGGATCGTAGCAGCATCGATGAATATTCGCGCCACGAGGTCCATTTAAGATTGACGGGTGTATCGTACACAAGGTTCTTCATGGCACCCCAGAGGAAAAAATCCAGTGGAGATAAATCTGGTGATCTGGGAGGCCAAGAGAAAGGACCACTATGCCCAATCCACCTGTTTGAAATATCCGGTCCAAATGGTCGCGTACACACCTTGTAAGACATTAACCCGTGGGTAATGCCCTACTCCTACATTTTCCTCGTGACCTAAAGGTGTGGGAAAAAAATGAACAACCAGGCGTTGGCATAATCTTAATATATCTTTATTAAGATCTAAAATTAAACACTATACAATAATAATATTTATATTTTAACTTAGGGGATCTGAGGTGAAGAAACACACAATACGTATTACCAAATAAGCACGATCTTAACCACTATATTTAACTTTCCCGTCCATTCCTAATCTCTGTAACTAATAGATACTAGTATTATCCTACCTTAATCTCTTGTTTAACCACAATCCTCTCGGATCCTAAATATCTTTTATCTCGCGTTGAATTGTATCCAGCTTGACTTGATCGTTCTGTCACGGATATCTTCACACTCAATGACGGCTTTCTTCTCTTTCTTCAGTTCACGCGCTTAAACCAGACTAGCATAATCACTTCCCAATAGGTCATACACCTATTTGTCAAACTTTTGCTATTTAAAAGGTTTCTAATTTGCATGTTCACGTTTCGCTTCTGGATTTGGTTGGAAAGAATTAAGCTTTTTCGTCCTCAAAGAACCGAAGAAGAGATTTTAGTAGAAAACGCGATGAGCCCGTCACAGTATTACCAAATAAGCGCGACTCTGACCACTATATTTGACTTAACGGCCTAATCCTAATCTCAGTATACACAGTTCCTAGTAGTTAATAGAACGGTCCTACCTCTATATCCT